ATTCTCAACTTAATTATAAATCCCCCTTCGCTGAAATCCACGTACACAGTGACAATTTTTTTCAGTTCGGCTTTTTATGATATATTTTCTCAGTATAAAAGCACCTTGGTTACAGCTGCCATTACAGAGCTGCCTGTTCTAGTGCTTTAAATTGGTCCATATATCCTATCCACCTTACAATGCAGCCGGGCAATTAAGCTGCATCCAATTATAAAAAAAAACGATAAAAATGTCAGATACCGCTACGCGTCTGGTACAAACTGCGCGTCACGTAAGTGGAATTGCTTGCAGTGTTATAACATGCAGCGACCTGATTAACCATACGTATGAGTTCAAAAATAGATGTCGTCTCTTAGAGAGTCTATTTCTCGGCGGGTTGCACATAGGTGCCTGGTTTGTCGTCTAGGTGAGAACGTGCTTATTCCGCGTCACACTAATGTTACAATAAACTATTATGTTCATGCTCGCGGAACTCACACCACTGGACGGTTATTAAGCCGCCAAGGTTTTCTTTTACAGGTGGTACAACAAAGATGAAAATGTCACCTGTGCGGGTACTAGTGTCCATGACGTCATCCCTTCCGTCCTGGGATACGACGGTTCAATAAATGTGCCCCCCTCCTCACTCAGTATTAATTTGCAGGGAAAATGTGGCGAAGCCGTGACACAGCTAGTACTCTGAATGTCACAGGTAGCGAGACGGAGTCGTTTGTCGTCCAGACGCGACCTCGGCTCCGGATGCAGAAGGCAGCGTATAGTTAAGAGTCCCAGCACGAAACAAGGCGGGGAGGGCTGTCAACACAGTAAAATGATGAAGTTGTCTCGTGGCTTGTGTCGTTGAAACAATCAGTTGTTTATGAAGTTGTGACTTGTTGCCTGATTTATGAAGAAGTTGCAGCGAGCATGCATGGATATCCTCCTCCACAAGTGCATTTGTACACTTGCCTATTGTACAGCTCTGTACATGTAGGGCTATATGCTGTATATTGTACAAGTACCTGCATAAACTATTAAATGATTCCGTGTAGCTTACCTTTTAACTTATACCAGTAGCCCCTGTTTGTGTGCAGTTTGTTCACAAATTGCTTTGAAAAGTGTCAAAACCTGAGGACCCGCTTCACTGTTTATCGGCCTCGGGTTCTATTATTATTGTTATGTACTGCTTCCCAAAACCTCCAACGCATTATATTCCATAAGCAGGCATTAAATTGCCTTCCAAATCTCGAACCGATTCATAAATCCCGATCAACAGTAAATATAATTCGGTCGATAAATGTGTAATCGAAGAAAAGGGCAATCCAAGAGTAAACAGAAGCTTGAACAGCGGAGAGAAAAGGGCAAAGAAAACATCGTGATTGTGCTCAGCGCAACCGGCGGAAATGTGACAACAAATAGTGACGCTAGGGGCGCTAACAGGGAGGTGACGGCGATTCATTTTAGATGTTTTTATAAATTATTTTTTATCACAAACATAGCATTAAATTACTTTTTTTTACCTTCTAATTTCTAAACCAAACTTTTTATGTCGAATTTGTTATTATAATGTTAGGTCAAAGGGTGTAACATAAAGCAATATTTCATTTTAGCTATAAAGGCAATTAAACATTTAGTGTTAATCATTCCCGAAATCTATGTGTATAAAAAGGCCAATGGTTCATAAATTCGATTATATGGCTAATAAGTCCGATCGGACCGATGGTTCATAAGTTCTATGGTATGGTTAATAAGCCCGATTGTTCATAAGGCCGGTGGTATGTTTAATAAGTCCGATAGGACTGATGGTTAATAAGGCCGGTAATTTGGTAATAAGTACAACCGGACCGATGGTTCATAAGTCTGATTATATGGCTAATAAGTCCGATCGGACTGATGGTTAATAAATCCTATGGTATGGTTAATAAGGCCGTTTGTATGGTTAATAAGTCCGATCAGACTGATTGTTCATAAGTGTGATTATATGGTTAATAAGTCCGATCGGACTGATTGTTCATAAGTCGGTAGGGTTAATAAGTCCGATCAGACTGATTGTTCATGAGTGTGATTATATGGTTAATAAGGCCAATGGTTCATAATTCCGATTAAATGGCTAATAAGTCCGATCGGACCGATGGTTCATAAGTTCTATGGTATGGTTAATAAGCCCGATCGTTCATAAGGCTGGTGGTATGTTTAATAAGTCCGATAGGACTGATTGTTCATAAGTCTGATGATAGGGTTAATGAGTCCGATCTGACTGATTGTTCATAAGTCTGATTATATGGTTAATAAGTCCGATCGGACCAATTGATGATAAGTCCGATGGTATGGTTAATAAGGCCGATCGTACATGTTTAATATGTCCGATCGGACTGATTGTTCATAAGTCCGATGGTATGGTTAGTAAGGCCGATCAGACCGACTTTTCATTAGTCTGATGGTTCTAAAGTCCGAAGGTATGGCCGGATGGTTCATAAGTCCGATGGTATGGTAATAAATCCGGCCGGACCGATGGTTCATAATCAGACTAATCGGACTTGTGAACCATTGCACCACACCTTTGGACTTTTGAACCATCAGACTTATGGACCATCGGTCCGATCGGACTTATGAATCATTCCATCGGACTGAACCATACATTCGGACTGATAATCGGACTTATGAACCATCGGACTGAACCAATGGATTTATGAACCATCGGACTTATGAACCATCGGACTATACCATCGGACTATACCATCGGACTTATGAAGCATCGGACCATACCATTGGACTTATGAACAATCGGACTTATGAACCATCGGACTACCGTCGGACTTATGAACCAACGGGCTTATGAACCATCGGACTATACCATCGGACTTATGAACCATTGGACCATACCATCGGACTTATGAACCATAGTACTATACCATCGGACTTATGAACCATCTCACATATGAACCATCGGACTTATGAACCAAGTCCGATGGTATGGTTCATATGTCCGAAGGTATGGTTCGAACCCACGAGAGTCGGTATTCGTATATGCTTCTTCCCGATTCCGCGATCGATCAACCCGTTGCCGTGGTGAGCTAAGATGCGTCACCTGGACTAAGAACTCTTAACTTGCCGTTACCATGGTTTGCTGAGGACTTTTACGTCCAGGCGTGCCTGAGCCCCAAACCCACTGTATGTGCGAATTTTGTCTTATAGTAATAGTAATCAGCGCAAATTTTATTCCTAGCGATAAAATTACACCTTACAGTCTAGAATTCGAACACCCGTAAAAATGTGTAGCTGTGGCCTAGACAGCGAAATTATTACGGAGCCGCAGAAGCTTCGTTGTTAAGATATGGAAAATTTCTACCTTGACACGGAGAGAGCCAGTTTATATGTAAAGCCTCGGTCACAACCGGACGTACGGGCTCTTACGGGCTGTTTTCGCCCAAATTTTGCGCAAAATCTCACGTCCCGTGCAAGTCCTTCTTGGGCAGTTTCGAGTTGGCAGACAGCCCGTAAGCACGTACGGAGGATGTTGGGCATGTCCAAAAGATTCTACGAATAGCCTGCGAACAGCGAGGCCGCAAGCGTAACTTGCTCCCCTCGCCCGGAGTTAAGACCCAGTCACAAATCAGTTGCGATGCGTCGGGGATGGGTAAAACCCGGGAAATTTGAACAAAATCTTGAGACAGATCTCACGATTTTGCACCCGTCGGAGGCGCTCTCCGGACGCCTGCGGGTTGTCGCAGATTTTTTAGACATCGCCACACCCGTCGCGGTCCCCAACTTTGAACTTAAAATTTTAAGATTGCTCGCAAGATTTTTCACCCATTTTGGGCATCCCAGAAACAATCTCCGATGACCTACGATGCCCTCCGATTAATCGGAGGCGTCCTCCGAATAATCTGAGACTATATACCCACATATACCCAGGGGGGAAAAAATTACAAGAAAAGACGCTCGCAGATATCGTCTCCGATCGCCTCCGATACAATCGGAGGCGATCGGAGGCTAATCCAACGATTTTTCGACTAAACCGGGTCAAAATCCTTGAAAAAATCTCAGACAATGTGACTGCTCCACTTTTATTAGGATTATTGCTAGGATTGTTCAAGGATTCTTTATTTTCTACGACGACCCCCGGCCAAAACTAATCCCCGACAGATCGCCGACATTGTGACTGGGCCCAGAAAGAAGCTTACATAGTAGAAAAAAAGGGAGGAGGAAGAAGAAAGAAGGGGAGAACAGGAAGCAAAACTGACGTACGCCGTCAGTACGTCACCACAAACGTGTGAGGCAAGTGTGAAGCATTCGTGCGTCCGGTTGTGGCCGAGGCTTAAATGTAAGTTCATGATGTACACGAGGCCTTGTTTGAACACCGACACGGAGCGTTCCTAGATAGATTACTTTTTACTATGATTTTGTCTTAAATTTTTACATACTACCTATACTTCTGTTCCAATATTTGTAATTTGCTATATTAAACCAATTGTCAATTAAGATACTCGTCGACTTCACACGATCATAGTTTAATATGTACAAAATAACAGTGTCCTGAATAAGACGGACCAAGTTTTTATAAAAAAAGGACGTTGCCGTTTAATCACATACAATACAATGTGCATTATAGTAATACTGTCATTATTTTCTCAGATATGGGGAAATGTCCATACGCACTGGGTACTCTCTCTGGTTATACATGAAAAAAGTCACATTCCGCAAGTGTCCCTGTTCTCTTGCCATTCATTATTGCCAAAACGGCTCATTTTTTTAACGTCCTCCTAAAAATCTGTTTGAAAGGAAAAGAGGTATTAATTTATATCGAGTTGGCGTTGAAGATGAAATCATACCACACAGAGTCATATCGCAGCTGTTATTTTGGTAAATTCTTAATGAGGCAGTAAATGCTTTCAAATGCGGTGCAGTAAGGTTTTATCTTTTTCTGTCGTCTTTCAAAACGTCGAAGAAACCCCTTCTGCAGGCGAACTTCAACCGGCATCATCTTGACAAGTGGGACATCACGTGACAGGCGCATGCGCACCTCTCTCCAATCCACGGATGAGGAGCTGCGTACTGTCGGCATGCTTTTAACTGTGCCTTTTGTTTGTGAAATGACTTTTTGACTTTGTGTCAGATAATCCTTATTCTTACTTAAAGCTGAAAAGCTTGTCGCTGTAGGGAAAACTGAAATAAATAGAAAGAAATATGCGTCTGTTAATCAGAATCAAAACGCTTTTTGGTCACGGTATAGGCCTATCCTTACATCAATTAAAATACAAGTATGCATATTATCATACACTGGGTTAAAACTATGATCAGCACTGCGGACATAGCAGTGGCGGATTTAGGGGGTTTGTGGGGGGGGGGGCGATTTCTGAAAAAAAAAATAAATAAAACTCCCCCATTGAAATTAAAATTTTGACTATCTGAATCATAGCTCTAGGCCTACCTACCGAATGGAACCGTTCGCCCTCTAAAACACCAAAATTTTTCGGGGCCCTTGAGCGGGACCTGAACCCCACCCCAAGGGTAAGGCTGATTCTCAGCGATACTGACCCTCGCTTATGCTTGACTTTTATTAGCTAAATAAAACTACGAAGAATACAAAAAGATCGATAGAACCCATCTGATCTTATAAGCAATGCTAACCTTGAATATGGAGGGTTTGCAATTTAAACGTGTATTTTGCATATTTTTGGAAACGAACTTCTTTACTTTTCGGCTGATCTTCTGTTACATGTATTAGTAGCTGATGATTGATGTTAACTTTTTAGACATGAAGGAAACTCATCCCTGCAAACGGAATTTGGTGGTGCTTTTAACATTCCCCCCTTTATTCCAACTTTTCCTTTCTAATTCCTTAAAAACTGTAACGTACGGAACGTGATTTCCACATCTTTTTATGAAAATATGTGATGCCAAATCCATTACTATCATTGTCGATCATATACGCCTAAACGCGTTGAAATTGGGTTACATTATTCACAATCATTGAACTTTAAAGAGGTGACACACATGCATCCAAGTCTCTAATGGTGATCAAGAAAAAAATACACACCATATATCGATATTATGAAAGTAAAAAAAAATGAAAAAATGCCTTTAGGCACTATTAAGTTTGCAAATCATAAAAGCGTGACTATCTATAATGTAAAAGGAAGAACATAAGAAATCGCGCTTACTGACTTACGTTCATTAGCAAACCACAAATGCATTAGTACTTCGATATTGCTGATTTGTGGGTGGACCCTATGTTTGCAGTGAATAAAGTGGGTACTGACAAATCAAAATTCCTACCTCCGTTTTTTTTCATGTTATCCCTATTTGTTCAGTGCTGTTCAGACCATTCTCTTTCTGCAGTGAACAAGCGTTTACTTACCGCAAAAAGTAACCAGTAATTCTACCAGTAAAACTGTACCCAATCGTGCTGGAGCTCTCATCGTCAAAACTGGTTAGCCTGCCTAAGAAAACCCTCGTCCTGACGTGAGAGCAGCTTCTTCAACGAACAGTGAGATCCGTGTCTGATTCTATTACGCAAGTGTATCTATTTCAACGATATCTGTGTCTGTGACAACCGCATCAGAATCACAAAACGCATCCACTAAAAGCAATTAAGCTTATAAAAAATCCAACAAAAGTGATTGGTTAGCCAAAGGCATTGTTCCAGCGCGCGTTTGAAGTTCTATCCTTCTATTCTCTATCGATCTCATTGCTTCTCTCATAGCACCTTGTGTCTTAACACTCAGGAGGTGCGTTCTTGGAAGTTTTCTGAAACGCCTCTCTCGCCTTGGGTCCAGAACGCGACAAGAGACGTCCGAATGAGGGGAGCAGTGATTTGATACGCTTGGGTCCCCTAGTCACCGCCCACCTAACACATATATCATATAGGAGGAGGACAGAGAGAGAGAGAGAGAGAGAGAGAGAGAGAGAGAGAGAGAGGGGAGAGAGAGAGAGAGAGAGAGAGTGGGAGAGAGTGAGAGAGAGAGAGAGTGAGAGAGAGTGGGAGGGAGAGGGAGTAGGGGAGACTCAAAAGAGAGAGAGAGAAGGATGGAGAGAGAGAGAGAGAGAGGGGGGGAGAGGGAGAGAGATGCAAGAGAGAG